GCTGGTCTTGGAGCGCTGGCGCTTTATTCGGGACATCTGAGTGACGGCATCGGCCTTGGGTTCAGAACCTGGATATCCTGCGGAGTTTTGGGGACGATCGGTTCCAATACAACCTCCCCTTGGTGTTTGGAGCAGATTTCAACATGCCCAAGGCCACCGTTGAGTCTGTCTTCCCTTTGGAAAAGCTAGACCTTGTTCTTCGCGGCCCAGATGTTCCAACCTTCGTTTCAGTTGGACGCTCCAGCATCATCGATTATTTCATGATTTCCGCCCCGGTCTCGCTGGCTATTTCCAGCATGGAAGTAGATGTGCAGGCAGCGACCGGAGTTTACCGGCCCTTATATATGTCTCTGAAAGCGATGGTCAAAGACATCCAGGTGCAGGGTCCCATGGTGTTTCAGAAGTTTCCTTCGCCACTAGCTGTGGGACCTCCCATCGGGCCTCCATGTTACGAATCGCTCATGACGGAGCTCTTACCTCATTGCGAGGCACGCTGATGGCGACAATCAGGTATGGTCTCTAGCGGGCAACGATGCCCGCCGAGCGGAATGTCGACAAATTCTGGACCGATGCTACACGGATTGGGTCCAGAAGGTTCGCCAAGAGATCTTGGACGTAACCCAGTCGGAGGCGTGCGGTCCGCATCCTGGCCCGGGCATGCCTGTGAAATCTTGGGCCCTTCACAAGGTTCTCAGGACCAATGGCCACAGGGAAGCGCAGCCGCATCGGGCTGTGGTCCGGGCCAGGAAGCGACTCCAGGAGCTCAGGGCTTTGCTTTCCAAGGAACCTTTCTTCAGGTCCCCCTACCTCCTCCACTTGCTCTCCAAAATTGCCGGCTTGGAGCGTCATCTTGGAGGTCCTTTTGTGAAGAATTGGAAAGTGGCTCATGTGTTTTGGGATTTACTATTGTCTCGAACAGCTACCCAGCGTCGACCTTTACAAGGCGCGCCGACATCTTCTGCGGCAGTTCGCAACGTTGTCCTCGAGTTTGTCCAGTTTTTCGAATCCCCGGCAATGGTATCCCAGCAGTCACTGGATAGAGCGTCATGGAAGGCATGGTGCGAGGAGGCTATGAGTTCTACTTCCGGCAAGGTTGTCTACTCTTACCGCAAAGGCGAAGGGGAATCATGGGTAGAGGTTATTGAGGGCGATGATGGTTGTACTTCGCGCTTAACCGGTCACCTTACCAACCAGACATTTCAGTATTCGCTGATATGGAATGCAGCCCCGCGGCCGCATCCTGAGCTCGCGCGCCTTCAAGACAGACCGCCAATTCCCATCGAGAGTCCAATGGCAGAGGAGACGATCAGGGAGACATCCAGCAGCTTCAAGCGTGCAACTTGCCAACCTGACGGTTTGCATCCTCGCCATTTTTTTATGATAAGCGCGGATGGCCTGAAAGTCATGGCCAGCCTTTTCACTCTGATGGGCCTTCTCGGAGAAGCGCCGGGACCATTTCAGAATATATTCGTTCTTTTAGCTAGAAAGCACAAGGGTCCTGGACGTCGCACTTCTTGGGGTTCCATCATTGATTATATCTGGTTAAAGGCGAGCTCATGGCCAGAGAACTCCGCTCTTGATGTGATGACTTTGGTTCAGGGCCACAGTTTTCCATGGGCTGTGGTCGTTCGCCAGCAGACACGGTTGGGCGTCAAGCTGCGCGCGTTGAATCGTCAGCCCTGGCTGGTATGAAGTTTTTGACGCTGGTATGGGATATTAGCAGTTTCTACGACTATGCCAGTCATGACTTGTTGGCGGTGCGACCGTGCTCCAGTGCCAGTTTTCCCTATGACATAATGGTCATGTCTGTCCATTCCCATCGCTGGCCTCGACGGTCCATGCTCGACGGCACTTGTGGAGACCAGCTTTGGGCAGGTAACGGGATAGTCGCAGGATCAACGCCGGCCGCTTTCGAGGCGAAGCACCACGTCCTGCGTTTAACTCAGGCTGTAAGTGCGCCAGGAACTTCGAACACAGTTCACGTTGATGGTTTGGGTTTGTTCTCCTGGGCGTTCACCAACGGCGACTGCTTGGACAACATGCGGTTGCTAGCCTGCCAGCTTCTGCAGGGTCTTCCGGCGATGGGCCTCAAGCTGGCATCCAGGACAGTCATCTGCACGGCCAGCGACGCGGAACTCTTGAAAGCAGCGATGGCCAATCTGGACCAGCATCATGTTGGAACCGCTACTGGAGCCGCCCCGAATCTTGGAAAAAATTTCACGAGCGGCAAGCGCAAAAGGAGACCGGGAGCAGATCAGGTTAGACGCCAGCGATGGCGAAACATTGCGCCCCGTAATTCCAGGTTGTGGAGAATGAAAACCTCTGGGGTTTTCAGGAGGAAACCTAAGTTCAGTTTTTTATATTATTACAAACTGGCGTTAAGTCTGCCCTTGTCTATGGGGCTAGTGTGCACGGTTTCGCCCCCCACGAAATTTCCAAGTTGCGTAGTTTAGCGATGTCTGCTTCAGGCCGATCCCTCAGAGGAGCACCTGTCGAGTTATGGTGGTCCCTCGTAGGCTTGGACGACCCTCTTCGCTATTGTGCCAGCGCTTGGAGCGATATTGTCAGGAATGGCGGAAGTCTTCCTCGATTGCCGTATCGTTGCAACCTCATTCGGACGCCCTGAATGCCTGTGAATTGTTTCATGTTTTCCATGTGTCCAGGCAGTCCATCAGGCAAGAGGAAAATGTTTCTTGGCTGGGAAGGTCCAAGGGCCCTCTAAGCGATATGTTCTTGTGGGTCGAAATGGAAGGTTGGAGCTTCCCTGATGCTTCCCACTTCCGGAGCCCCGAGGGGGCCGCTTACGACTTAAGCGTGGTGCCCCCATCGTGGATTGCCAAGCAGTTTGTGCAGTCTGTTAAGAACCAGGCTCTTTTGTCTACAATTCGTCGTCAGCTCACAGGCTCTGAGCACCCGTTTGCCCAGCGAGCCACACAGGACAACATTTGGCACGTCCAAATGTCTCGCTTTTTGAAAACTGCCGAACGTCACCTTGCTTCTAGAGAGGCCCAGCTGGCCCGCAGTTGGATGTGCGATCGCGTGAGCACGGCTGCCAAGCTCAGAGGCTGGGGGGTGGATGTCCCTCTGGAATGTCAGCACTGTGGTGAGCCAGACACGGTGCACCGCAGGATCTGGAAGCGCCCCCACGGCGCGCAGTGCCGAAACGTCCACCTTGAGGATGTCGCGGCGTCTGCGCTCGCCGAGGGGGAGGACAATCCGTATTATAAATGCTTCTGGCTTTTAAAGCCTTCTCCTCATCATCATCGTCCTCATCCTCCTCCTCGCCCTCCCCCTCCCCCGCCTCCTCCCCCTCATCCTCCTCCTGTTCCTCCTCCTCCTCCTCCTCCTCCTCCTCCTCCTCCTCCTCCTCCTCCTCCTCCTCCTCCTCCTCCTCCTCCTCCTCCTCCTTCCCTCCTCCTGAGCAGGGGTTGGCCGTCGCGCACAGGGACGCCGACGGGAGTGGTGGCCCCTTCACCTTTGACCTGTCCCTCCCCATCTACCTCGACGGCTCGCGTTTGCATTCCAGGGCTGACCTTTTGGCGAGAGCTGGCGTAGCAGCTGTCCAGACAGACTACCAGGGGAATTTTCTTCGCGGCATCTTTGCGCCTCTCCCGAGCTCGTTCCCCCAGCAAACCGTGCATGTTGAGCATGCTGCATTTGTTATTGCAGCTCGGCGCGTTGAAATGAGCTCGAATCCTGTCTTTGTGGTGGACTGCCAGGCCGTCCTCAGATGCATGACTGTTCCCAAGGCTGCCCTCTCAGGGAAAAGCGTGTATAGCCGGTACTGGCGAGAAGTGGCCCATCATACCAACGCCGGCGATGTAACCGTTGTCAAGGTGAAGGCCCACAGATCCGTAGATGAGGCCGTCAGCGATGTAGATCGAATGCGCATCTTAGGCAATAGAGCGGCTGAAAGAATGGCCAACGAAGGAGCCCAGGCCCGTGACCTCCCCCCAGATGTGGTGGATCAACACCTCCACAGTTTGGAAACTGATCAGTCTATCGTAGAGGGTGCTGCCGAAGTTCTGGTTGAGTGGCCGCCGGCTCGTCAAGCTGTTTGGGGTTCTTCGGCGCTTCCCCAAACAGCGAAAGTCTCGTCCGTTCGTGGTCCAGCACCAACCTGTTTGGCAGGGCGCCCATGTTAGATGCATCAAACGTTGGAGGAAAAGCAGCCCAAATTCTAAAGTGAGCTGTGCTGAAACGCCTCCGCTCGTCGGAGACGTCAGCGTTAGTGCTCCTTTGCTACACCACTCCTTGGTCATAGGCTGGGTCGAGGGCGGCAGGCTGCCGATTGTGTATTGGATGTCCTGTGGGGCGGTCGCCCGTCGTGTGGCCAGTGCCTCCTAGCCCATGCGGCTGCTGGAGGTATTCTTTCGGTCAGTGAGGTCTCCCTCACTGCCAGCAGCGGTTGCCCAGCCGCCGCCGCTGTGCTTCTTTTCACCAAGGCTGTGCGGGCGTTGAGCTCAACAAAAACAGCACGGGCAGGGGAACGAAGCTTGCGGCCCCGCGTGTTGTCCCACGCCTCCCGACTTCCGAGTCAAAAGTGCTTCGGAAAAAGGGGAGGTGCCCGGCACCCGACTTAAGTTTGGGAAGGCGGTCCCGCTCGCCTTTTCACGGTGACCCCCGACGTGTTGCTCTTTCCTTCGCGGCCAACCTTGATTGCAGTGCGCACGGCGCGTTCCGGACACGCTCTGCCGGAACGTGCTGGTGAGCATTCTATACGCTGGCTTTGTGCTTGCACGACCAGTTGCACAGAGCGCCGAGTTCCAAGGAGGAGGAGGAGGAGGAAGGAGGATGAGGAAGAAAATGAGGAGGAGGAGGAGGAAAAGGAGGAGGAGGAGGGAGAGGAAGGAGGGAGGAGGGAAGAGGGAAGGGGGAGGAGGGCGGAGGAGGAGGATTCGGAGAAGTCTTGTGGTCGAGCTCTTACTGTACCTACCAGCTGCGCCTGCACGGGGAAAGTTGAGTTGCCCTTCCCGCCGTCGCCGCGGCGCTGCCGCCAGGTCGCCGACGCTGCCGCGCCGGCCGCGGTGCGCGGGCTGTCAGGCTGCCTCTCCGCGCCCCGCCTCAAGCAGTGGCGAAACGTCCGGGCTCGCTTGGAGGCCCACCAGAGAAAGTTCTAATAACCCTTTGTGGTCTGCGCGACATGATCTCAGAACCTTTCTGGCTGAGGCTGTCTTGTCTTAGCACGTCGGGCTTCTGGTATGCAAACCTTGCTTATGTTAGAACATTGTTCGGGTTCTAAGAACACTTCGTGGTAGGCCTATAGGAATGATGGGACGGTCGGTCCCTGCTCAACTCAAGTCGGGCTTGTCCCCCATACAGAGGTTGTCGACGAAAAATAACGAATATCCCCAAAACAGTCCAAAAATATTCAGGGCATTATTTTTGGAGTATTCCTTTGCCTTTTTGAAGCATTTTTGGGCTATTTTTTAGTGTTCGTCGAAAATCCCCCCGTAGGGGGACAGGCCCGACCTAATGGTAGGCCTGCAGGAACGCTGGGACGGTCGGTCCCTGCTCAACCGCGGGCCTCTGGCAGCGGCGCCGGCCACGCCGTTGTCGACGAGCATCGCGGGCCAGGCCCCCGGGCCGCGAGCCCGCGGACCCAGGCCCCCGCGGGCTCTGGAAGCACAGAGCATGGCGGATGCGTTTCCTGTCCCCCTACAGTGGGATTGTCGACGAAAAATAAAACAATACCTCAAACATAATCGACAAATATCCCAAACATAGTCGGGGGACTATTTTTTGGATATTGTTTTACCTTTTTTTGAGCATTTTTGGGGTATTTTGCTTCGTCCGAAAATCCCCCTGTAGGGGGACACGCCCGACATAACGCTCGGCCTCCGGGGGCCCTCGTCGGGCCTCGGGTGAGAAAGCTGGCCCCGGGGGATGGGTGCAGACCTCTGGGGGTCGACATCATGAACAAACATATGACGCCCGAGGTCTGGAGAGACGGGGCGTTTTTTGGCGAGTGCCCCGCGCGGAACGCATCCCTGCCACCGCGTCTCCGCGGGATCGCGCCCAGAGTCCAGACCGCGAGGGCGCGGATACAGAGACGTTCGCCGCTCGTGAGAGCGTCGTGAGGCCTAAGGAGAAATAACACGCCGAAGCATCATTTTGCGGAGCTCCGCGCGAGTTTCTCAGGTCGGCGCTGGGCCCCTCTTGCGGCGTCTTCGGCGCTGCGCGCGCCAGGGAGGGGGGTCCAGCCCAGATCCAAGAAATCCGCGCGGACCTCCGAAAGTGCACGTGTATGCAATTCGATGCTCGTCTAGTGATGTCGGGCGTTTTCGGCTGCTCTGGGTCTCTCCCTGGCCTTCGGAGGCTTCCTCCTGGGGCCTCATGGGGCCTCCGGGTGCCTCCTCGGACCCCCAGGTCCAGGCCCCTCAAGATTTCTGGGCATGGGGTCAGGGAGGAGGAGGAGGAGGAGGAGGAGGAGGAGGAGGAGGAGGAGGAGGAGGGGGAGGAGGGGGAGGGGAGGAGGAGGGCAGGAGGAGGAGGAGGAGGAGGAGGAGGAGGAGGAGGAGGAGAAGGGAGGTGGCGGAGGAGGAGGAGGAGGAGGAGGAGGAGGAGGAGGAGGAGGAGGAGGAGGAGGAGGAAGAGGAGGAGGAGTGGGAGGAGGCGGGACAATGCGTTTCAAACATGCGCAGTGCAGCAAGAGGAGCAAGAGGAGGAGGAGGAGGAGGGAGGAGGAGGAGGAGGAGGAGGAGGAGGAGGAGGAGGAGGAGAAAGAGCTTCTTCTTCTCCTCATCCCTCCTACTCCTCCTCCTTCTCGCCCTTTTGCCTTCCTCTGCTGCCGCCGCTACTGCCCCTCCGGTTTGAGCAGCGCTCGTGGGGAATTTCCGAGTGCATGGATGGCCATCCTCCTCCGGTTCCTCCTCCTCCTCCTCCTCCTCCTCTCGTCCTCCTCCTCCTCCTCCTCTCCTCCTCCTCCTCTCGTCCTTCTCCTCCTCATCCTCCTCATTATCCTCCTCCTCCTCCTCCTCCTCCTCCTCTCCTCCTCCTCTCCTCCTCCTCTCGTCCTCCTCCTCTCGTCCTCCTCCTCCTCCTCCTCCTCCTCCTTCCTCCTCCTCCTCCTCCTCTTCCTTTTTCCTCCTCCTCCTCCTCCTCCTCCTCCTCCTCCCCTCCCCCTTCTCCTTCTGGTTCCCCCTTCCTCTCGTCTCCTCGCTTCGTGGCTTGCCTATGTAGTCTAATTGCCTTCGGCATGTCCCGCCGCCGTGCCCAGGGCTGCGGGCCAGCTGCCTCGTTTATGCTTCTCGGGGCTTCTTCGCAGGGCTTTCGGGGAGGCCTCACTGAGGCAGTGCTGAAGCTTCCTGAGGGCCTCGTGGGACTGTCTTGGGATCGGGGGTGGCCATCACCCCCACCCTGACACGTCGATTAGTGAATTGTCCGTTTTTGGTTCTCGAGAGGGCGCCGCGGCCGTCATTTTCCAGGCTTGCGCCCGCCAGGTTTGGGCCCGAGGCCGCTGTCACTAAACCACATTTTGCTAAAGGGGTTTCCGTCCATCCCCGATGGAAGTCTCTTGGGGGATTCTTCGGGCCTCTTGGAGCCTCCCAGGGTCTCTCGGGGCGGTGAGCTCGAAATGTCGGTTCGAGTTCCCTCTCTGGGGCCCCTCTTGGAGCGTTTGTGGAGCCTCCTGGGCCGTCTTGGAGGCCTCTTGGGCCGTCTTGGGGGCCTCTTGGGCCGAATCGGCGCCGTCTTGCGGGCCTCTCAGGCCGTCTTGGGGCGATCTTTGGGGCATCTAGGGCTGCCTTGGAGCGTCGGGAAGCCAAAAAAGGCGGACACGCGAAACTCTTTCTGAAGTGTCAGCCAGCGTGGATCCCAACGAGCGATTTCGCGCAATATATGTGGTGCAATCTAGTTGTTGCAATCTAGGTGGTGCAATCAATGTGGTGCGATCCATGTGGTGCAGACTATGTGGTGCAAGCTGACTTTTACCCATGATTTGACACATCCCACGCTCTTGCAAACATCCCACCCACCCACCCGCAACTTGGTTTGCAAAACCTCTTAAGACCGACTACGACGACAACGACTACGACGACACCGACGACGTATCCGACGACTTCGACGACGACAACGACGCCGACGCTGACGACGACGAAGACGACGACGACGACGCCAACGAAGACGACGACGAGGGAGGAGGAAGGACGACGACGGCGACAACGACGACAACGACGACAACGACGAGGGAGGAGGGAGGACGGCGACGACGCGAACGACGAAGAAGGAGGAAGGACGGCGACGCCGACGACGACAACGACGAGGGAGGAGGGAAGCCGACGACGACAACGACGACGACGACGACGACGGCGACGAAATAGGAGGGGCGACGACGAGACGCCGACGGCGGACGACGACGACGACGAGGGAGGAGGAGGAAGAACGACGACGGCGACAACGACGACGGAAACGACCACGACGCCAAAGAGGACGTAGAAGAACACGGCAGAGCGTAGCATGCCATAGCATGGCGTGGCATTGCGCAGTGTAGCATTGCATCACAAAGCATTGCAACGCAAAGCATGGCATCGCACAGCGGAGCAGAACACAACACCGCACAGCATGTCATGGCATGGCGCCGGGTTCCTTGGAGGGCAAGTGGATCGTCTTCGAGAGGTCTGGGCCGGTCTGGACTCGTGGCTCCATGTCTAGCTTCTTGGGCTCCCCGAAAATTTCCACACAAGGCGGGGCTGATGGAGAGCTCCTGCTGGCTCTGCTTTCAACATCGCCTTCTCAAATCCCGCTTGATACTTCCTGAGAACGGCGACGCCCAAAAGTGGGGGGCGGGGCTTCTGCGGCCCAGGAAATCAACGAATCGACACCGAACGTGTACTCACTTCCGATGGTTTGTTCGAGGGGGGGGGCATTTTCTAGATTTTAGGGCCTATTTGGAAGGCCCTCCCTCCTTCCGTTTTTGGTTTTCTCCTCCTCTTTGCTAGTGTCCTCCTCGTTTTAGTATATGTGTTTTTTTGCTCTGGTTGCATCCCGTCCCCGCGCACGGCTTTAGCTTGAAACGGGGGGCTCTGCGCGACGGGGTCGATGCACGTGTAAAGGCGTGCGCCCGTGGAGCAATTGTATCACATTGCCTGATTCGAGCTCTGCGCGTTTCACTCTGACGCTGGGTGGTTGGATTGTCAAAAAAAAAAAAATGGAAGGACCGAAAACGCACGCGCTGCAGCGGGAACACGATTTGGAACAACCAGAGGCGCAGATATGTTCTGGACGTCATCAGGTGAGAGGAGAGTAGTATTCATATTGTGTAACTGTGGAGGTGGAGGTGGAGGGGAGCTCGGATGGGAGGGGAGGGAGTGCCTGGTGGAGGCGGGGGGAGTCCCCAGGGGAGAGACTAGGGAGAGGGGCTTGCTTAGGAAACTGACAGTGAAACAGCTTGAACCAGTTTCGCGCAGAGGGCTGGCGGGACTCGGATGCGGCGCGCTCATTTCCCTCTACCACGGTCACATCATGAGCTTACCTATCGCAGGTCGGCTCGCGTCGGGTTCCCAGTTTGCCTGGCGACACTTTGATTCGCACAGCGGTTGCGGTCGAGCAGTGCGAAATTGTGCGGTCCGTTCCATCCTCCTCGTCCTCACAAAGATGAGGATAAAGGAGGAAGAGGCGGTGGAGGATAAAAGAGGAGGAGGAGAAGGACGAGGCAGGTCGTTTTTCTGTCCGGAGCAGAAGGGGACCATGATAAGAAGGAGGGAAATAGAGAGAGAGAGAGAGACGGAGAGAGAGAGAGAGAAAGAGAGCGAGTGAGAGAACTAAAGAAATTACGAAAGAAAGAGAGAGAGAGAGAGGGGGGGTGGTCTACCCTTGGGTGCATTGTCCCGACGGATGCTTCGGCAGCGGCACCCGTGCGTGGCCATGCATACGTGCTCGAGTCCAATCGGTGTTTGTTCTTTTCCGCACTCATTGCTCATCCTCATCCTTTCACATCTGGCTCCTCCCTCCTCCCACACCTCCTCCAGCCCGTCATCATACGCAGTATCAGATCTCATCATCATCACCACCATCATAATCATCGTCGTCGTCACCACCACCATCAGATCATCATCATCATCATCATCATCATCATCATCATCATCATCATCAGCAGCAGCAGCATCATCATCATCAGCATCAGCATCAGCATCAGCATCATCAGCATCCGCATCTGTTGTGTTGTTGCTTCTCCGCGCGCCACTCGTCCAGCCTCCCTCGCCTGCTCCACGTTCGCTTCCGCGTCACTGCCGCACACCACGCCATACACAAAGGCACCGCGAGGAGCAAAACCGCCCTCCGAGGAGACCTAGGACAGGGCCTCGGAGAGCGCGCGCCCCACCCCCTTGCGGGGACGGCCGGCAGAGGACGACAAGGGAAAGATCGGGAGCTTTGAGACGGGGGTCAATGCAAAGGGGGGTCAGCCAGGGCACCAGATCCTGCAGGATCCTGCGAAGACCCCCTCTGGCTGACCCGGGTTAGCGAGCCGCTCGTGGCCGCGAGGCGGCCGCGCATATTGGTTGACCCGGGTTTGCGAAGATCTGCGTTGCAGTTGTTTTCCCTGCATTGCAGTTTTTGGTTTCCTGCTGACCCGGATTTGGATTGACCCGGGTCAGAAGATCCCCGAAAAGACGAGGAGGACGGCGGGGCCGAGGGGGAAGAAGCGACAATCACGACGCGCAGAGAAACGACCACGCGAGGGGACGGGAGGACGAGGGGGGGGGGGCGGAACGACGAGACAGGTCGAACAGAAAGGCAGAACGGCAGGGACCGCAGAGACGGCAGCCTTATGCTGCCCGTTACCTGACCTGCAAAGGAGCTATGTCGGGGGTGGACAGACCTCCTACCCTGACACGTCGATTAAGGAATCGGTTCGCGAGAGGGCGTCGCGGCCGTCATTTTTGCGGGTCCAGGTCCGTCGGTTTCGGTCCCAGGCCGTTTTCACTAAGGGGAGGTCTACTAAAGGGAGGTTTGTCCACCGCCGATTATGGCCAGCTGGATACAAGACAGTTCGATGCACGCTCAGACCACCGAGGACACTCAGGCCAAGGGGGGGAACACGTCCATGACACCAGTCGACACGACTGCGAATTGATTCGGGGACGCCGCACGCTCAGAAGACACCTCGGGATAAAGATTCGCACCTCCAAGTTCGCAGAATTCCTCAACCGATCATCAAACATCAAGGACAACTCGCAGATTTACCTCTGCACCAGTCTCTTTAACTCGGCCGGGAAAACGCGGCACTCCGCGGTAGCACACCATGTAGCAACAAAGACATCATCATCATCATCATCATCATCATCATCATCATCATCATCATCATCATCATTATCATCATCATCATCAGCAGCAGCATCATCATCATCATTATCATCATCATCATCATCATCATCGACAGTGTCATCATTATCAGCAGCATCAGCAGCAGCATAACCATCACCACTATCCTCACCATCACCATCACCATCAGCATAACCATCATCATCACCACTATCGTCTTCACACATCATCATCATCAACATCAGCAGCATCATCATCATTCGAATCATCATCATCAGTATCATCATCATCAGCACCAGCATCATCCTCATCCTCATCATCATCGGCATCATCATCAGCATCATCATCAGCTTCATCTTCATCTTCATTTCAACGCCTTTCTCTGCCCCTTTGTTGTTCCCCATCTCTCTCGCTCTCTCCCTCTCTCAACATATATCGATTGATCTCTCTCTCTCTCTTTTTCTCTATCTTGTTTCTAACTCTCTCTCTCTCTCGATGTTTTTTGGTTGTTTCGCTCTCTCTCTCTCTCTCTGTTGCTACACGTTCTCGCTTGCAAAAGGCATGTACTTGGCGTTTCTTGCCTCCCTTGCCTCGCGGCGCCAGGCGAGGAGCAGGCTTGCTTCCTGGGCTGGTGTCTCGCCGGCAGCGTGGCTGTGCTCTTAGTGATCGTCGGTTGTCTGATGATCTGGCGGGTATCGTGCTCCTCACTCGGGGCAGGGGTCACTTCGCTCCGATCAATCTGACTCGATGCTGACTCTCGCTGGCTCGGTCCGACTCGATTCCGAGTTTTCTGTCGATCCGTCTCGGCCCGACGATTGCCTGGCGCCGTTGTGCGTCCAGGCGCGGCCGGTCACATTCGATTCCGAATCCGTGCCGAGATTGCCCGGTCTGGCTCACTTCTGATTCCATCCTGAACGAGCGCGTTCCACTACTCGCAAAGTGCCTGCTCGCAATCGTTCGAAAAACACATGCCTGCTTTGATGTAATTTATTGTGGGCCCCCCGCGGCGAATCCAGGCCATTATTTGCGAGTAGTTACTCTGCGAGTAGTGGAACGCGCTCGTCTACATCCGATGCCCCGATTCGATGCCGGCTCCTCCCTCGGAGCGGGTGAAGGGGGGCAGCTGGACGAGGGGCGGTAGGACATCTCTACTGCACGCAGCTGTTTGTTCGGCCCCGCCTCTGGGCGCACGCCTCTCGATGCACTGGCGCGTCTGTCGCCGGGAGGCGCCGGGCGAGCCGGCTGCATGCAGCCCCAGGGCGCGTTCCGATTCCTCCGAGTCGATCCGATTCGATTAGGGGAAGAAGAAGTGGCATAAACATAACAACTCGGAGGTCCGCGCGGATTTCTCGGATCGGCGCTGCCCCTGGCGGGCTCCGCGCGCCAGGGAGGGGTGTCCAGCGCCGATCCGAGAAATCCGCGCGGACCTCCGAGTTGTTATGTTCATGCCACTTCTTCTTCCCCTAATCGATGCCGATGGAGTCCGATTCCGATGCGATTCGGCGTCGGATTCCGATCTGCGCTCCGCTGTCTCAACGGGGGCCCACGGGCCTGCCGAGTTCTGCCGGTTCGACTCTGCCCGGCTCGGCTGCCGATCTCCGCCGATCCGACGCATTTCGATCGCCGGTCCGACTTGTCGATCCGATCCTGGGCTCTCTCCTGCCCCTGCTCCGACTCACTCCGACCCAATTCCTCCTCGCCCCCCTGCTTCCGCATCCTTCTGCCTGTGTCGGCCGTGCGGTGAGTACAGCACTGGATCAGTCCGGTACGGCTCGGGACTGCCTGAACGTTGCAACAATGTCGGTCTGGAGAGGCTCTGTCTGGTGGTCGACGGACGAGGTGCTCCTCGCCCTCACCTTTCTCTTACGGACGCATGTTCAGTATTTGCACCTTAGCGATCATGTTAGCAGCATGGCGGATTCTTCACATACCACAGAGTGGCTATCCTGGTGTTGTTGGTTCCGACGGGCGCGCTTACATGGGGTGGGCGAAGGCTTGGTGCGATTCCGCTTCGGAGCATATCAGGGTGGTTGATGTCGTGTTGATTGTACTCAGCGAGATGGGTTCAATGTGTCGGCATAGCCGTGAACTTCGAAGTCTGGCGATGCCCGCACGTTGTGCAAACCGTGGCGATCGCAGCGCAATCCCCGCCACGACGCAACCCCTCGAGCGTTGCTCTTACCCGAGGCCCGAACCCCCCAGGTAACGACAGTCATTGAAAATAACACGAATTTCACTGCAGTTTCTCCTCGCCCACGGCGTCTTTATGGTTGTCTGCTTGTGTTGCCGTTTATCTCTCATTAGATGTTTCTCTCTCTCTCTCTCTCGCTCCGTTTTTTTCGGGGGGAGGACAGGGCGTCTCCGACATGGGTGGGCCGGCGACGCGGGCGTACCTACCATACCCTCCAGCATGGAGGAGGAGGCGGAGGAGGAGCAACAAGGGGGAGGAGTGAGGGGGATCATGCCGATCCGATCGATCCAGTGGATTCCCATAACGGGGACCGCCTCGATCCGATCGATCCGCTCCGATGTCGGTTCCGGCCAGCTCGATCCGATGCGCCTCCGATCTGTCCCCACGAGCGGGTGCGGCCCGATGCCTGTCATGCGGCGACGTTGCGCCTCCTGGCGCAGCCGATCCGATTCGATGATGCCTCCGTGCCGATGCAGCCCGATCCTCACGGGAGGACAAGGCACCCCTACTGCTGCTACCTTTTCCCTCGTTTTCCCCCTCGTTGGGCTTCCTGGGTGGCTCTCGTCGCCGCCGCCGGTTTCGCCGCGAAGTCCTGGCCAGAACGCGCCCGGGGAGAGGTCCGGGGAGTATCGGTATCAGTACCTTTTGCTGTCCCCTGATCCGACGCGCGCGTTGGTGCTATCCGAACCGATGTATCGATTCGATGCTGACCCCTTCCTGCCATGAAGGACGGGGTTCATGAGTGAAAGACAGGTGCCATGGAGCCTTTCCCCGTTTTCGAGCTCCTCGGCCCCCCTGGGGCCCCCTGAGCCGTCAACAGAACGGGCCAGGTCGAGTCACTGGTCCCAGGGAAGCCCTTGGGTCCAGGATCCGTTTCTCATGCTTCGTTGAGAAGGATGTAGGATCTCAGGAGAAGTCCCAGACGGCTCAAGATGTCCCTCACAAGGCTTCCAATGGAGCCCAATGGGGTTCCAGGACGCGACAAGATTCAGAGGCCCAGACAATGCCTAAGAGGCTCCAGAAGGCTGTCGAGAGGACCAATAGGTCCACAGAGGTCCAAGAATCTTCAAAGAGGCCTTCAATGGCTCCAAAAGGCTCCAAGACGGCCCCCAAGAGGCTCCAAGAGGCTTCCAAACGAATCAGGATACGTACACCGATGCATGCTGCCCAAACATGCCCCATGACGCTTGAAGAAACGCAGAAGAGTCTCCAACATAGGCACCAAGGAGGGGGAGGATGGGGGAGGACGCTAGAGAGGAGGAGGAAGACGAGGAGGGGGAGGAGCAGGAGAAGGAGGAGGAGGAGGAGGAGGAGGAGGAGGAGGAGGAGTAGGAGCAGTAGAAGGAGAGGAAGAATTCTGGAGGGTTGCGGAAGTGTCTGGATATTTGAGAGCGGAGAGGAGTAGACGGAGGAGGAGAAGGAGGAGGAGGAGGAGGATTTAACGGAGCGCAAGGTGAGGAGGAGGAGGAGGAGGAGGAGGAGGAGGAGGAAGAGCGTGAGAAGACGGATGTTGGTTGCATCATGGGCTATTTTGGGGGGGGGGCTTC